CTCTCTCTCTCTCTCTCTCTCTCTCTCTCTCTCTCTCTCTCTCTCTCTCTCTCTCTCTGTGTGTGTGTGTGTGTGTGTGTGTGTGTGTGTGCGTGTGTCTGTGTGTGTGTGTGCGTGTGCGTGTGTCTCGCTCGCTCTCTCACACACACACACAGTGATCCCAAGCGCACTACGCTCGATTAGGAAAGTGCGTCGGCGCTGGGAGAAAGGACGGGAAGGCACATCTTTGTCTTTTTTTTTTCCCCTCCCGTTTCTTTCCTCTTTTGAAGCCGAGTAACCTTATTCATTTTGTAATGTCGTATCTATTTGATTCGTCAGGATTCGATCTCCTGTTCGTTCATCAACAGCGTTACATGCGTGTACTACTCCCGAGGTGACGGAATCTAATAGGTACAACAAGGTTACTCCCGGACGCTGCCTTTCCTGGACGTATCTAACCTCAATGGTGGTCAAATGCAGTCCAAAATGCACGAGCCTGACGGAGCCACAACCCACGTCGTATGAAAACTATCTCCTTCCGCCCCCATCTCCGTCCAAAGCTAGCTCCGTTACTGTACCGAAGCCACGGCGCAGTATATGTAAACGGCGGCACAAACTGTGAAAGGTACCTCGTGTTTCTTCATCAATAGGGGTACAATGTCATCACAGGGGCTTGGTAGGAGAGGGAGGCGGTTCTCTAAAGGTGGAGGTGGGAGGGAGCACTGTAACGGGTAGCGGAAACGACAGGTCGGTAGGGATAACAGGGCTAGGAAATGGAGGTGGTTCTGTAGATGACGGGGGCATAGTAGAATACCGTTTGAAAAGAACTCTCTTCTTTTAGAATTTAGAAAGATACCCCATGGCTCCTTTTTACTGCGTGACTGCGAAATGGTAATTTAATATTTAGGGGCTGGTTGGAGCACCCCAAGGATTTAGCTCTCCGTCCTATGTGGATTGCTCCTTCCGACTCTCCCTCTCTCCCTCTCTCCCTCCCTCTGTGGCATACTGAGCAGCCACACGGGCCTGCAGGGCCCGACTACACAGAAAAGTAAGGGCCCTCCAGGCCCTGTGTCGTTTCAGCCTAAAAGCCGGAAAAGGAGGGCCATTTTGAGGCCCTCATAAAGTGGTCCTTTCCTGAAACTTAGGCGCCGCCAGACCAGGGATCAGCGCAGGCCACTTTTAGGCCCGTTTCAAGACAACCTTTTTTTGAACTTCAGCGCTAGGGTTTGGCACGTTTCTGCATTGTGGCAAGAGCAGCCTCGGGGCCGGTGCAGCACTATATAGTACTGGTCCGCCCTGCAGTTCACAGGCAGTTCACCGGCACTTCACGGGACCTTCAGGAGGCAGTCTTCAGGAGTCAGCCTCAGCACTCTGCAGGAGCACTGCAGTAGTAATAGCTAGCGCTAGGAGTCGTCTTCAGCGTTGGGCGCTGTTAGGAGCTTAGAGTAGTGTTGGAGAGAGAGAGAGAGTTGGCGGAGGCCAGGGAGACTTACCTTCAGGAGGCAGTCTTCAGGAGTCAGCCGCAGCACTCTGCAGGAGGGCTGCAGTAGTAGTGGCTAGCCCTAGGAGTAGTCTTCAGCGCTGGGCGCTGTTAGGAGCTTAGAGTAGTGTTGGAGAGAGAGAGAGAGTTGGCGAAGGCCAGGGAGACTTACCTGTGGCACCATAGTTCCAGCTTTGTCTTCTATGTACCTGCAACAAGGCGACACCTTCACAGGTTAGTACTTGGCACAAGAGAGAGAGAGAGAGAGAGAGAGAGAGAGAGAGAGAGAGAGAGAGAGAGAGAGAGAGAGAGAGAG